GTCCTGCCTCCTGCTGCTGTGTGAAAATGAGATACTCCTCTTAGTCACATCTATACTCCCATGTCTGCTGATGAGTTTAGTGATGCCAGAGGGTACCTAGACCCAACTCCTGTGGGCGGAAAGGGACACAAACTCCGTGAGACTAGCCCACGCGCAGCAGAGCGGGGTGTCCTTGGCACTGTGCTGTGAGAGCCCCCGAAGGCCCAAGGGCCCCAGTACGGTCCCCGCCCCCCACCCTGTGATCTCTCTCTTTCTCTAGATTCCAACAGACTGAAATGAAGGTGGGCTCTGTGTCCTTCACCTTGGCTCCTGTGACCTTGGCTCCTGTGACGGTTAATTTTATGTACCAACTTGGCTGGGCCAAGACGCCCGGATATGTGGTCAAATATTATCCTCAGTGTTTCTGTGAGGGTGTATTTGGGTGCGATCAACATTTAAATGTTGAAAATGAAATGAATTGCCCCCATAATGGGAGTGGATCTCATTCAGTTAGGTAAAGGTCTGAAGAGAACAGAAGACTAACTCCTCCAAATCCCACCCCCCAGCAAGAGGGAATTCTGCCAGCAGACGGCCTTTGGACTTGAACTACAGCACTGGCTCGACCCTGCGTTTTCAGCCGACTGGCAGAAGTTGGACTTGCTGGCCTCCATGTGGTACACTGAATGTTTGTGTCCCACCACAATTCATATGTTGAAATCCTAACCGCCAATGTGATGGTATTTCGCGGCGGGGCTTCTGGGAGGTGATTAGGTCACGGGGGTGGAGCCCTCATGAATGTTCTGTGCCCTTCTGAGAGGGACTCCAGAGGACCCCTTGCCCCTTCCACCATGTGAGGACACAGTGAGAAGGCATCAGCTAGAAAGCGATCCTCACCAGATGGCAAATCTGCCAGCTGTTGTTCATAAGCCACCTTAGTTTGTGATATGTTATAGCAGCCTGATGGACTAAGACTCCATAATTATGTGAACCAATTCCTTAAAATCAGTCCCCCCTCCCTACCCCCCATAAATATTATACACACACACTACATATACTTTATCTCTACCTATCATCCATCCATCTATCTATCTATCTATCTATCTATCTATCTTATATCTTTCTATCTATCTATCTATCTATCTATCTCTATCTATCATCTATATATCTTTCTATCTATCTATCTATCTATCTATCTCTATCTATCATCTATATATCTTTCTATCTATCTATCTATCTATCTATCTCTATCTATCATCTATATATCTTTCTATCTATCTATCTATCTATCTATCTCTATCTATCATCTATATATCTTTCTATCTATCTATCTATCTATCTATCTCTATCTATCATCTATATATCTTTCTATCTATCTATCTATCTATCTATCTCTATCTATCATCTATATATCTTTCTATCTATCTATCTATCTATCTATCTCTATCTATCATCTATCTATCTATCATCTATCATCTATCTATCTATCTTTTTATCTATCTATCTATCTATCTATCTATCTATCTATCTATCATCTATCTATCATCTGTCTATCATCTATCCATCTACCTGTTTGTCTACGCAGGTGTATATACACATCCTATCTACCCACATCTGTTTCCCTGGAGAACCCTGACTAACTCAGTTCCCCATCTTGGTTTCTTATTGCCTGAAAAGGTCTGGTGAAAGGCTGGAGGGGTTGGGGGTGGGAGAGCTTCAGTCTAAAGATCAGTGAACACAAGTGTCAGGAATGAGGGGCTAGGCCGGGCCAGGGGCCGCAGTGGTGATGAAAGGCAGGGGGAGGGTGCTGGGACTGGATTCACTTGGGACAATTACAGAGGTAGCTTAAAATTTCTTTGCTTCCTTCTGAGCTGGCCGGGGACAGGTGTCCTGGCCTCGCCAGGGGCTGACATCAGGAGGGGAAGGCAGTCTTTGCCCAACACCCTCAGCTATGGGAGGAGGAGGCATGGGCGGGTGGGGAGGGATGAAGATGGGGAGGGCTGGCTGTCTTGCTTCTGTCCAGCAAGTGGCTGAGTGAGGCCCCTCCATGCCTCTGTGCTCTGTGTCCCTTAGCATAGATTAATTTTTGATAACAATCACACTTTACATTTGTAAATTGCTTTTAGGCTTTCAAAGCACTTTCACCGAAACCATGGGGAAACCTCGCCTTGCCTCCCTTTCCCCTCGGGGTCTCGAGGCTGAGTCTGGTTGTGTGGAAGAAGCATTTGGGTCTCCGAGGAGGCCCTGCTTTCCTTGTTATGCAGTCTCTGGCTTTAGCAGAAAGACGGCCAGGGTGCTGGGGGCAGCTCCAAACCAGGATTTAGTAGAAAAAGAGGATATTCCTCGGAAAAGCACCCATCACAGAAGGGTGAGGAGTTTAGCATGATGCTTCTTTCCCAGGAGAATGGGGGCCTGAGGCTCAAACTTCCTGACACCCCCTCTTTGGCTTCTCCCCTTCATCCATCCCTGCTGTGGAGGCCTTGTCCCCCCCGGGTGGACCCTGAGTCCCCCCAAGCAGCACCTGTGGCAGGAGAAGTGCCCCTTTGTTCTCTTTGTCCCTGAAACATGAATGGTCATGGGGAGCCCTGTGTCACAGGAGACCCAGCCCCCCATGGGAAGCAGGCGGCCCCTTCCAGGCCTGAGTAGCCCTGAGCCTGAGAGCCTGAGAGGTCCTGGTTGCTGTGCTGTGCCCTGACTGGACACGGTGGGCAACGGGAAGTGGCCGCGGCTGTTCGGGATGCTGCCGCCTCCACTCCATGGCTGCGGGAGGCCTGACACCTTTCCGTTAGTGATCTGCTTTACTGGGCTTGCACCCCAGGCCTTTTGAGGCTTTTTATTTTTCTAAAGTTAATAACCATCCCCTACCCCTCCCAGGCTCGAGGCATGCAGATGCCAGGTGGGGCGGCCTGGGCTCGAGCAGCATCAACCAGCTATGAAGTAGTCTCTCCAGGAAACCAAGCAGGCACAGACGGGGCGATCCCTGGATCTGCTTCCACAGGGTGTCCCCTCAGCTTGAGAGGACAGTGACGAACACTGGCTCCCGCCCTTCTTGAGATCCATCACTATTTAAGCCGCCACAGGATGCCTGTGTTTTTCACCACCCATCTGCCCTTTTTGGGGGAAGGAAAAGTAGGCATTTCAGTGCAAAAACTGAGTCTTGACACTTCAGGTGGAGACTGACGTGGCTGTCCACTGCTCCCTGTCCTGGGAAGTCACCCTACTCCTAAGCACCGGAAGGGCACAATTCTATATGCCCGCCTTCCAAACTCAGCTTCCGGCACGAAGGCTGTTATAACAGCGCCTCCCTTTGGCCCCACTCTGTCCGGGTGATCCTCCCACCCATTTGGCAGGTAAAGACGCTCAGAAGCCAAGAATGACCCTTGCCGTGGCTCCCACAGAGAAACAAAAGGAATGGTGGATGCTACCCAGCTACCTGAGTAAATTCAGCCCTCCTTGGGAAACCCATTATAGAGCAGCTCCCCCCTTAATTGTCTGGGGTGGGGATACAGGGCCTTCCTTCCCGGTGACCATCTTCTCTCCCAGAGTCTGTAAGAGGTCCCTTCACTGCACCAGTCCGGGCCTTTCACAGCAGGACATTCACGTGCATGCAATCCAGATAACCAACCCGACTCTCGGGACCAGTGTCTCTGGACACACACGTGGACACAGTCACCTGCAACCCACCAACACAGACTCTCACCTTCCCTCCCTCCCTCCCTTCCGAAACAACATACACAGAAAGACCTCCAACGTGAAGAGGGGCACATGCTCGCCCAAGCTCTCTCCCTGGGCATCAGGGCTCTGGGCACAGGGCCAAACACATCCCTCCAAGAGCCCAGCAAGAGGAGACGGGGTTATAGTGAAGCGGTAAGAACTGAGGTGAGTTAGCAGAGCTTCCTGGTCCCGTGTCTTTGGGCATCAGCATTTGGGTGGGGTACCGCGGTGGGAGGGGATGAAAATTTGCTGTGGATTTTGGAAAATAGCACAGATGCCCATCTGTTTTGGATGGCTTAGCTGAAGCCAGCTTAGAGGCCAGATGGATGGATTAGGGGCCCCTGGAGGTCCTCCCACCCCGACGTGCCTCAAACCCCCGGACACAAGCACATACACACGTAAATGGCTTCCTCTCCGTGCCCAGGATCAGCAAACAGGCACATACCGTTTCCACACCACTATCGTCCTCGTGACCAGTCACGGCAGTAACCAACACTCACTCCCGTGCACTGTGGGCATCACCCTATTTCACTCTTATAATGAAGCAGGCACTATTATCTCCGTTTTACAGGCAATGAGACTAAGGCCCGGGAAGGTTAAGTAACTTGACCAAGGTCACACCACTGGGACATGGCAGCTCCAGGACTCAAACCCGAGTGTGTTTGACACTGACCCGTGATGCCAAACTGCCTCTCTTCAGCCCTGGCCTTTTCAGAATCTGGGGCTCCCTGCTAGGATTTCTCCAGAAAGATACCTTATTATACACTCAGGCAAACTGTAACTGGGTCTAAGATGCAGCTGGCCCTAAGTGCCATGCCCTTGTTTATGTAGGCTACGCGATCTATTCGTGGAACATTCAGATGAAATGTCATCCTGCTCCCCAGTAGGCTGTCAGAGCTCATTTTTCTCTATGCTTCCTCCATCCTCCATCACTGACCCAGATCCCTCATGCCTTAGGTAGTCAGCAAAAATTAGAGGCGCAGAACAGAGGGGCAGGGCAGAGCCTGGGGGCACCATGAAGGCAGTGTCAAGACCTCGGACCGCACAGACTCAGACTAAATCTCCCTCGCTGCAGATATGACACTTCCGCGCCCACCCCTCAGCTGCGCGACAGACCCCAGAGGCAGTCAGATGGCCAGCAGACTGGAGCTCCCACTCCGCTTATTGCTTACGAAGTGGCATGAAGGCATACCCTCTGGGCTCCCGGCGGCTGTGCACGCCTGCCCCCTGCACCCCAGCTCCCCTGCATGGTAAGAAGATCTTCCAAACAGTCTCAGGACAGACGGCCCCTAGGCGGGCAGCCTACTCACCCAGGTCCATGTCTGCAGCTTTGGGCCGGTGGGAGCAGGGCACGTTCTTGAAAATGGCGTCCAGAATCTTCTCCTTGACCTGAGTAATGGTGTCGCAGTTGAGAATCTTCACGGGCACCTCGGGGCTGTTGGTATTGTCTGGGTTGACACAGCTCAGGACCTGGGGGAGGGCAGTGGCAAGAGCTTTGAGATGCCCAGCAGCGTTCTGGGCTCCTGTCCTGACCAGCTCCGCCTCCACAGGTTGGACCAGAGAGGGCTGGGGAGAGCCCAGCCCAACCGTGTCCCCACCAAGCCCCCTGCCCTTCCCATCCCGCAAGCAGCAGGAAGGTGCCGTAGGTGTCATCACAGGATCAGGAGCTGCACACTTAACGAACGTCACGAAAATCCTGATTTTTTTCAAAGAGAACAATGTCCAAGTTGGAGGAGGCAGTGAGGGGAAATCTGCATGAGAATGGACACTAATGCACGACACACTCTCTTACACACACATACTTTCTCTCTTACACATACGTGCACACGGCACCTTCTCAGGCGCACACCCAGACCCGCACCCACCTCTGAAACCTCCCGCTTCCATCCGTGTGTGTCAGTCTGTCTGTCTTGTCTCTCTCTCATACACACACTCACACTAATAGGAATCTGGCTCCTCTCTCAAAAGATTTCATAAGCTTTGATTTTTTTGAGGGTTTCGGGCTGATAGGAGCTTGCAGAGGCTCTAAGAAGCATAATGTGTTCTTTAAAAATAAAAAAAGCGCCCTTTAAAAATTGCAGGTTCGGGCCACCTGAGATCCCTTCCTGGCTCTGAACCTGAAACCTTGTGCTGGGGGAAGAGGCCACCCTGGCTCAGGGCCTCAATTTCTCTTTTTGGAACGAGTCAGAAAAGTTAAGACTCCACTTAAAGCACCCAACTATATTTTTCCCTTTAACGAGCTCTGGGCTGTTTCCAAAGGCTTTCTTTCTCTTGCTGTTCTCAGAGTGGGCTCTCCCTATGTGGGTGAAGCCGTGCGGGATCCTGGGTGAACCACAGGGGAAACGGGTGGGTGCTGTGGGGCACAGGTGCTGCCCAGTGGCCCTGCCATTCTGGGCTCCTGCACCTCCCTCCGACCCTGCTTCCCCGGGCGCTCTGTGCCCCTCCTTCTCCGCCCTCCCACTGCTCCTCCCTCCCAACCATTTCCCAATTGCATGTCTGGTTTGCAGACTCAGACAACAGCCTCCCTCCTACCGCCACCCCCTCCCCTGCTCCATGTGGTGGCAATCAGAACCTTGGCCCCTGGACGCCTGCCTTTCATTAGCAGCCAGACTGCTATGAGCTCAAATGGAAACATGCTTCTTCCATTAAGAAGAAAAAAACCTCCCAAATCTATAAACCCAAACGCTCATTCTCAGAATGGCCTAATCTGAGAACAATGACGGAAGGAACTCAGGACCGTGTGACCCTCTGAGTGGCCTTTCTCGGCCACCCCTTCCTGTAAAAGCCTCCTGGGCCCTCCCTGCCTTCTCAGTGGCCAAGCATAGCCTGCTGTTTGGTGCTGCCCTGGGCTCCCCTGCTGTCCTGAGCTCTGGGCCAGCGGTGGGTGGCTTAGCCTCCCCCAGGTGGCAACGCCACTCGCTCTGGGCTTCCTCTCCGCAAGAGACCACGAGGCAGAGGCTGCCACCTGAGCACGCTCTCTGACATTTGTGCCTGCTGCAGGGGTTCCCGGTGGCCCTGTGAGAACTCCACGGGATGCTCAGGGCATCCAGAGAAGCAGCAGTGGCCCCACCGAGGGACAGGGTTCCCTGGCCACTGGCCAAGCCATAGCTCCAGCCAGAAGTTCTCTTCCTACCCGCTAGTCCCATGCCCCTCGGTGAGTTTCTGAGTAAACTTCCTGGTGTTTTTTTCTGCTAGGTTGGTGTTTCTCAAACTTTAAGATGCGTAGAATGACTGAGTGGTTTTGTGAAGATTCTGACAGGAGGTTTAAGATGGGGTTTGAACTTCTGCATTGTAGCAGGCTCCCAGGTGGGCATCTAGAGCTCTAGCACAGAGGTCCCCAACCCCCGGCCACAGACTGGTACCAGTTCGTGGCCTATTAGGAACCAGGCCACACAGCAGGAGGTGAGTGGTGGGCCAGTGAGCGAAGCTTCATCTGAGTTTGCAGCTGCTCCCCAGTGCGAGCATCACGGCCTCAGCTCCACCTCAGATCATCAGGCATTAGATTCTCATAGGAGCACTAGTCCCTGGTGCCAAAAAGGTTGGGGACCATTGCTCTCGCAGGCTCCCAAGTGACACTAACTGGCACTCCCAGCCGCAGGGTCCTAGTCCAAATTCCAGTATCAATCTGTTAATCACTCAGTCTTTAAGAGGGGCACCTGCTAGGAAGCAATGCATCCCTGAGCCTCTCAGCACCTGTCTCGGTCTTTGTGGTCCCTCCTGCCAAGGACAAGGTTACCATCAGTTGGCCCAAAGTGCCCTGGGCTCCTCCAGCCACTGCCAAATTCCACGACTTCCTGTCTTTCTGTTGGACTCCTCCTCTTGGGTCTCCAGTCAGC